ATCTGTTTGCAGCCTCCTGGCTGCAGCTGGTTCAGGTTCTGGGTAGCTGCTGATGGCCACAGAGCCTGGGCTGGGGGGCAAGGGGCAGCAGGGGTATGAGCAGAGCTGAGGGGCAGGGGCTTTGTGTGGGGGGCAAGGGGCACAAGCAAGGCATCCTGCCATGTACCCCATGCCCTCATTTTGTTTTTCTGCCTTGCCGGCACTCTGGCACCTTCCGAGATAGGCATTATGGTGTTTTTCAGCACTCCGGACAAAAAATGTTGCCTACCCCTGCCCTAGGGAAAGGGAGATTCCCTCTCCCTGGCCAGGCTATTATTAAACTTCCCACCTTTGACCTGGGAGGGCAGTCCTAAGATAGTGGTCCCTCCTCAAGGTGAGGGCTAATGTTACTCAAACTCACTGGTCAGCATCAGTGATGCTCAGAAAATACCTGGTTGGGTCCAGGTGGTGAGGTCAGAAAGGTTATAAATAGGGTCCCTCCATCTTAGGACATAGAGACATCTTTTGGTCACTGAATCAAGCTGCGTATCTCCAGAATCGTCTGGATGTTGCTGTGAGTAACTGATCTGAACAGGAGCCAGTAACTTAGACCTAAGCGTTCTAGACGCATACTGAACAGGCCAACGAGCCCCTTATACTGTTTTGCTCAAGGCTGTTTTGTTTCAAAATTCGTTTTGGTTTGTATTCCTTCCCTGTGCCCTCCCTCTCCAATTAATAAAGATATGTATCATAGCAAGCCTGACCGTAAATGTTTGAGAAGGATTGGGCATGCCTTTTTGCTCCCTTTGCTTGGCTGATTAAGGGAAGCTACTGTGGAAGAAATCAAACTTCGCGTTGTGGTTGTATTAGAATTAGCAGAGCCATCTAGGTTTATTTAAAGCTATATAAGTGATCACAGGGAGAGTTCTCAAAGGAACTCCGACCTCTACAAATTTACAAGCGTATTTATACTTTAGACAGCGAGAAAAGATGCAGGGTTCAGACAAAGCAACCTTGAGAGAAACAGAAAGATGTTGATCATTCGTTTGTCACATGCAAGCAGTTTACTTATTTAGAAAAAAACACTATGTTTTGGGAACAGTTGTCAGCTTCTGGTTCGGCGGAAAGGAGGAGGTTAACATCTGCACACAGACAAAACAAGGCATGAAGGTTTTTCCTTATCTTAGAACATTATAAAACACATAGCATCAGCATCTTTTTCTCTTCTCTTTCTCTCTCTTCTTAGTCAAGTAAGAGGCCTGGTTAAACTTATTTCCACACTACTTTCTATGCTTCCGGCTAAGGAAGCACCCCAAGATCTCATGGTGGGTTAAGCACCCTCAAGGTCTACAAGGTCTGCATACCCCGGTGGGCACAGAGCCCGGACAAAGACCAGATCCCAGGTGGTAGCAATGGTTACCCCAGGCTTGCAGGTGTGCTCCTGGGAGGGGGTCAGCCAGACGTAGGCACCCCAGGGGAGGCACCCGAGGCTAGATTTTTAGTCAGGAGCACTGAGGCAGGTGGCTCAGTGCAAGAGTGCCCCCTACTGGCCCGCCACAAGGTATAGGGGGATACACCCTGTATAAGAGGGATCATGTTGGGGAAAAAGGGAGGAGTGCCATCAGGAGGCACTACTTCACGGTCAGGGCGGCTAGGACCTGGAACCAATTTCCAAGGGAGGTGGTGCTTGCCCCTACCCTGGGGGTCTTCAAAAGGAGGCTAGACAATCACCTAGCCGGGGTCGTTTGACCCTAGCATCCTTTCCTGCCCATGGTAGGGGTTCGGACTTGATGATCTGCTTAGGTCCCTTCTGACCCTACCAACTATGAAACTATGAGTTGCTCTCTACATGAAGGAACATCGCCCCTCCCTAGAAGGGAAGATTGGAAACAAAGAAGGGCATCTTGAGACCCTCTGGGTCAAGATATGGGGAGAGCATGGGGAAGGGGATTTGATTGTAAGAGTTTACTACAGACCTCCAAACCAAGAGGAAAAGCTCTACCAGGAATCCTCTGGAAAACTGGCAGAGGCTGCACGCTCTCAGAGCATGGTCGTCATGGGTGACTTCAACTACCCAGACATCTCGTGGGATGAGCATTCAGTAAGATCTGATCACTCACAAAGCTTCCTCACTTGCACTGAGGAGCTGACCAGGGGCAAGGCACTCCTAGACTTGGTTCTGGA